TGATCGCCATATTTGGGGTCGGGAAGGAATTTTCCTCCAGGGCAGATTGGCAGAGGCCCTGGGGGTTTTTTCATCTTCCTCTGCAGCGTGGAACAGGGGTCACTTGCTGGAGGATTCTCTGCACGTTGAAGCCTTTAAACCACGGTTTGAGGACTTCAATAACTCAGACATAGGTTAGGGGTTTGTTACAGGAGTGGGTGAGATTCTGTGGCCTGCGTTGTGCAGGAGGTCAAACTAGACGATCATAATGGTCCCTTCTGACCTTAAAGTCTATGAGTCTAGGAGCGACTGTTTGCTTGGAAAGATTGGGCGCTCTCGGGGGCAGAGAACGGCTCTTTGTTCTGTGTCTATACAGGCCCTAGTGCCCTTTCCTCGAGTCTCTGCTGCTTCTGGCTTTGGATCAAGTCTCCAGCGTCCTACCCAGTACGGATGCTGCCATGTAGCATCCTGCTGTGTTTCTAGCAGTGCCGGGCTTGAGATGCCTTGAGGTCAATGGGTACAGCTGCCATTGAAGTCAATGGGAGCTGTACCAGTTTATACCAGCTGGGAAGCTGGGACCACTAGCAGTAGATCCAGGTAGAGCACTCTGTTGCCGCTGTATAGGAACCTAGATAGGCAGATGCTTTGTGATCTCCCAGGCTTGCCTGCTGTTTGGGGTTCCTTCCTCAGGACTGCTCAGCCCACACCCTAGATCCTCTTATCGCCGAGACCCACTCCCACCTCTTTTATACCCAGTCGGGTTAACCACCCCCCTGCACCAGAGAATCATCGGAATCCATTAACCTTTTCCCATATGGAGCAACCTTTGCTAACAGATTGTGGGGGCTGTTTCAAGCAAACGCTGCCAGTCCATGTTTGGCGGGGTGGAGGAGTTGGGGGGAGAAGACCGGTTAATTTGCAGACCTACAGTAGCGTTTTGGGGATGATCAGCTCTCATGCTTCAGGGGATCAGCTGATCAGTACAGAGATCAGGAAGGGGATTCCAACAACCAATGTGACAACACTGCACTGTCAACCTGGTGCAATAGGGAAGGTTCCTCCTTTAATTGAAGCCATCGGATTTTGGCTGCTGGAAGGGACTGTGGCCTGATGCATTGTGGGAAAATCTACTTTCCCTGGAGGAAAGTGAGTTTAGAGCATATTCGAAGGACCTGATCCCAAGCCCCTGGAAGTGAATGGGAGTCTTTCCACCGGCTTTGGCTCTGGTTCGGAGGAGATGTGGGTCTGAATGGTGTTGACATCTACTCTGAATTCCCCCGACTCTGCGGCTGCATATAAAGATGGGCTTGTTCGCTGGGGCTGCTCTGTTCTGCTGAGCAGAACAATAAAGGGAAAGATGCTCACAATGGGAAATTGTGCATCCTCCTTGCTCGTGAAAGGGGAAAAGACAGACACACCAACTGTTTACTGGTCCTGGGTCGGAGGGAGGGATTGAGAGTGAGAGAGAGGGAAAAGACGATACAGCCACCACCTAGACAATTCTGATGCTGTCCAAAGAGCACAAAGACTAGATCTCCCCAAGCAAAACTCATTCTCTGGTTATTTGATTTCCTCTCCCAGCGCAGGCAGGCCTCTCGCAGTCCCCGATGCCAGCGGATGTATCCGCTAGCCATGGAAGGAGCCAGGAGTCGCCTCTTCCAATGAACCCCAACGGCACTGGAGCAGCAAGTTTGGTCTTTCCGTTCCTCTCCCATCCAACAATGGGACATTTGTGACGGAGCCGGGACCGGGTTTTTGCGAGCGTGCGTCATGCCAGATGCATAACGGGGTGCTGAGTCACCCCCGGGCCAGCAGTCTGGCCCAGGCGGGCGTGCAGCAGCAGGTGGTGGAGGAGAGCTCTCAAAGGATCGCTTTGTTTTTTCCCGGCCCGGTTTGGAGGGGTGCGGTGGGTTGGCGGAGGATTTCCCTGTGAACGTAGAAGGTACGGGACTGGACCCGGAGCTGGTACGTAGAGCCCTGCAAATCCGCGGCTATCTGCTTTATATCCACAGATGCCTGCATCCCCGGACGCGGGTGCATTGTTTACCACCTTTGGGGATCGGCCGCAGATCCAAATTTTTGTATCCATGCAGGGTTCTAACAGTGCGAGAGGGGGCTGGGGCAGATGCATATAAAAGGTGGAAGGTGGGTCAAATACAAGTTCATTACCGCGGATGTGGTTTGGGTGCAGATCCAAATTTTGTGTGTCTGCGCAGGGCTCTACTGGTAGGGAGTCTTTTACCATTAAAATGCGGCTCGTTGGCATCTCCCCCGCATTCTCCACCTACCCGACTTGGTGGGTGGGAAGTTCAGGACCTCTGCCTTGCAGCAGCATGGTGGGGTAGAGGATTCTGCCCAGTGGGGAGGAGGGTCTCAGGGCTTCTCCCCAGTCGGATGCATCTGCTGGGGCTTGGGGCTTCAGCAGGAGTGGGGCTGAAGCCCCGAGCCCCGGCAGGCGTCTCCCACGGGGCTGAAGCCCCAAGCCCCGGCAGGTGCTCCCTGGCTCTCGAACGTCTAAAGATTCTCGTATGTGGCTCGGAGGGTCAGTACGTTTGGCCACCCCTGGTCTAGTGGATCTGGCACTGGCATGGGAGTGGGGAGATGTGAGTAGTCTCATCTCTGAAGCTAACCTGCTGTGTGACCCTGGGCAAAGCTGTGTGCCTCAGTTTCCCCTCCCGTCCCCCCCTGTTTTGATTCTAAGGGACTGTGTTCGTACAGCCCCTAGCGCAACAGGACTCCAGTCTCGCTTGGAACCTCTAGTCGTTGCTGGAACTAGTCCGATGCAGCGGAGCCAAAACATTCAGACCCAGCTCTTCAGCCTCACAATGCTGGTTATTGTGGGCTAGCGGGAAGTCGGCCAGTCCCCCTCCTGGTTTCCTGTAGAGGGCAGGGGTCGAGTTGAATTAGCTTCACCCTCCCGGCCACACACCGCCTGCTCTTCCCATAATACTCCTTTGCCTCCCTTCATCGTCTCTCACCCACGATCCCCAAAGGGATCGAACGGTGGGGGTGGTTCCCGAGCGACGGGAGAGGAGGTTCAGAAGATTCAATAGGCAGGGCAGTATTGTCTAGTGGGTAGGACACTGGCTTGCTGGGCGATCCTTAGGCCAGACACTTCCCTTCGCTGCTTCCCTCCATCCCACCTCTTGTCTATGTCGATTGTACACTCTTCAGGGCAGGGCCTGTCTCTCTTGAAGTGTTAGCGCATTGGGGCTCTGGTCCGGGCGCCCAGGAGCCCTAGCTACAGACCAAAAACCTGTGGTGCTAGGTGCTGTACAAACACAGAACCAAAAGAGAGAGAGCCTCCAACCGCCAGCCCCTTGGATTCCAGGAACGTTAACCCCCTGGAGAATCAACCCATGTGAAAGCCACAGGACGATGCAATTTGTGTTACCCTTTGGTAGGAACGACCTAGACAAACAGATCGAGTGCATCTTGTAGAGGACAATGGGTTGTAGGGAGCCAGACCTCGTAGAGTTAGTGTAGAGCTGGAGGTATGGCAGGGTAGGGAGACGCTCTATAGAGACCATGTTTTTAATCCTCCATTGCCTTGCACCTTCTGCTGTCATTCCCACCCGTTCCATACAGGGTGCAAATTACGTGTGCACCGATCCACTGGTGGTTTGCACCCGCTTTGCGCTCATTTTTGCACGGCTCACCGTGACTGCGCAAGGTGCAGGGTGATGGAGAATTGGGGCCATGGGTCAGAGGAGTGGGCCAAAAAGTGGAGGGTGGAGAAGGAGGCAGCAGGACAGCTCCTTGCACCGTGGGACTCCGGTCCATGACTGGGTCGCCTACGTACAACTGTCGTCCAGATGATGATAATAACTAATAAACCGTAGCGCTAAGAGCCCAGACTGAAATCCTGGCTTCACTGAAGCCGGTAGCAAAATCCCTGTTGATTTCACCCCCAGGACTTCTGGATTCAGTCCCCAGCTCTGGCCTCTGCTTGTGTAAAATTAGGCCGTCACTTAGCCTCTTTGTGCTGTAGTTTTGCTGTCTGTAAAATAGGCGCTGCTAATACCCCAGTATGGGACCAGGGGCAGCTTTCAAATGACCCTAAGAAAACGAGGTGCCTAAATCCCATTGGCAGTCAGCGGCATTGGCCCACCTCTGGCCTCTTTGAAAAGCCACAAGGCTTAACTTATTTATGTTTGTAAAGTGGTTTGGCATCTTTGCATGGGAAGATGCTAGAGATGTGCAAAGTACTTGTTTATTAGTGGAAGCATCCGTAGCCATATTATTGGAGTTAATTTGGGGCAAAGAGGGATCTGGAAGCAGAGGCAGAATCTGGGGCGAGGTTCAGAAATCTCTTGGGACGCTGCATGAACCATGTGTTGGAACTAGAGCCGTGTGAAGAACTGATCTCCGGCCACGTCAAAAAACTGGGGCTGATCCGAATTGATTCGGATCAAACAAAACATTTCATCCGCGAGCCTTTTCAAATGTTTTTTTTTAAATAAATAAATGTCCACACAAAATTGTTTCGAACTGAAAAAATCAAATTGTGCAGATTTGTAAAAAAAAAAAAAAAAATTCTTACGACCAAAACAAATTCAACGAATTCAGCACCAATCTATGAAATGGTTTGGTTGACCCAAATCTGCGTTTTCTGGCGCAAAAAAGTTGGCCGAAAATTTTTCCCCAGTTCTAGTTGGAACCAATCTCCTCGCAAGGTCCTGCCGAGATGTCTGGGACAGCTCGGGGAAACATCCAACAACCCACTGAGCTCTGTCCGGCCCTAGAACAAGCTGGGGATCCGGGAGGTAGTGGACGCAGACCATGAACGCCTTGTATGGCTGGTCTGGCCACCTGGCATTGATGGGCAGTGTGTGAACCTCAGGCATACGGGGATCATGCTGAAGCCCATTCTGGGTTTGGTTTGAGCTTTGGGTGGGCATATGCGTTGGTTCCTGTTTCACCCAGACTGGGTAAGCCTGCCCTGACAGCCTCTTGCTCTTCATAGGCAAAGCCAATGGGAGGGGGGTGGAGAACCAATGGGCCAACTGCACTGAATCCCATTTCTCTCCACAGCACCGGTGTCAGAAGTGGCCGGAGACCCCCTGGGAGCTCGACTGAGTGAGTATTAGAGAGAAACCCGAATCCTGGTGTTAACAATTATTATTACAGCGATGACCCGTTGTGGGGAGCCAGAGCCCCACAGCGCTAGGTGCTGTACCAGCCAATAACACGAAGGGTCAAACTATGGTCCGTTCTACTCGACCCAGCACGACACATGTGATATTCCCTTGCTCTCCTGCAGCACTGAAATTCAGTAAAGACATGTGCAAAGTACTTCACTTAGGAAGGAAAAATCAAACGCACGACCACGAAACGGGGAATAACTCACGAGCCGGCCGTACTGCTGGAAGGGATTTGGGCGGATCACAAATTGAATGGGAGTCAACAATGTGACACCGTTGCAAAAAAAAAGGCTAATATCCTTCTGGGGTGTATTAACAGGAGCGTTGTATGTTAGGCACAGAAGATAATTGTCCAATTGGTGAGGCCTCAGTTGGAGTATGTGTCCAATTCTCGGCCCCATGCTTTAAGAAAGATGGAGATAAGTTGGAGAAAGTTCCGAAGAGAGCAACAAAAATGACAAAAGGTTTAGAGAACCCGACCTGTGAGGAAAGGTTAAAAAATTGGGGCATGTTTAGTCTTGCGAAAAGAAGACTGAGTGGGGACCTGAGAACAGTCTTCAAATATGTTAAGGGCTGTTATAAAGAGGACGGTGATCGATTGTTCTCCTTGTCCACTAAAGATAGGACAGGAAGTAAGGAGCTTAATCTGCAGCAAGGGAAATTTAGGTGAGATATTAGGAAAAACTTTCTCAGGGGGGTTAGGCTCTGGAACAGGCGTCCAAGGGAGGTTGTGAAATCCCCGTCGCTGGAGGGTTTTCAGAACAGGTTGGACAAACCCCTGTCAGGGATGGTCTAGGTTTACTTGGTCCTGCCTCAGCATGGGGGACTGGACTTGACGACCTTTTGAGGTCCCTTCCAGCCCTACATTGCTGTGATTATATGAGTGGGGAGAGAAGCCGGATTGTCCAGTGGTTAGGGTGCTGGCCAGAGATCTGGATACAGTTCCCTGCTCTGCCACGCACTCCTTGTGAGCAAACTCTCCCGCTGCTTGCAACAGCGCCCCCGAAACGAATCTGCATCGCAAAACTCTAACTATGCGGAACTTCTTCAAAAACTCAACGGGAGCAAAATAACTTGTGAGACTATGTGGAACAGCGCCACCTTTTGATGAACAAAACATCATTCCTTTTTCAGGCACGTTCCTGGCCCCATATCTAAGTATGCACCCGCTGCTGCTGCTGGCTTCACTCTGCCTCTCGTCTCTGCCAGCTGCGTTAACTATTTACCAGAAGGCAACTGGGGGTCCAGGTGGGTAACCATGTTCTCTTCCTCCCAACGAATCCCCCCTTCCCCTTTCCAGCATGGGGCGGTTTGGCTCTTGTCCTAGTCCCCACCCGTCGGCATCATCTCAGAGCCCCAACCTGCCGCAGTGTAAAGCGGAGGCGCGTGGTCGCAGGCCGGGGGAGGACGGGAATAGCAGGAGGCCGGTTTGAGGTGCGCCGGCACAGCTGTGTGCTGGGCGCCCGGGGCTGGAACAATAAGGGAGGCGACAGGCTGGGGTTGAGTGGCCTCAGCAGAAGGGAAGGGAACCGGGACTGTAAGAGGCAAATCAGGCCCCCAATGCAGCAGCAGTGCATGTGGAAGGGGAACCCTGGACTGGGAGAGCAGGGTGGGGCTGCGGGTCAGGACTGAGGGGCATCGGGGGCACTGGGGGGAGCTCAGGGCTGGAATAGCAGGGTGGGGCTGCGGGTTGGGACTGAGGGGCATTGGAGGGTACGGGGGGAGAGCTCAGGGCTGGAATAGCAGGGTGGGGCTGCGGGTCGAGAGTGGGGGGCATCGGGGGTGCTGGAAGGGGGGAGCTCAGGGCTGGAATAGCAGGGTGGGGGTTGCCGTTTGGGATTGAAGGGCATCAGCAGGCAAACAGAGCAGGACTTGGAGGAGAGCCGCGGAGCCGCGATCCTCGAGCGTCTCGGGAGGCCGCAGGCCGAGCAAGGCCAGGGGGTTCGACGCGCCTCCCCCTGCCGGTGTCTCCTCACAGCCCCCACCCCGCGCCTGCAGTACCTGCTGGAGCCCCTCCATGAGGTGGTGCACGCCCAGCGCGGCGCCACGGTCACGCTGCCCTGCGTCCTGCGGGCGCGGCCCCCCCACTACAAGGTGAAATGGAGCAAGGTGGAGCCGGCCGAGCTGCTGGAGAACATCATCCTGGTCACCAACGGGGTCCAGCACAAGACCTACGGGCAGCTGGGCGGGCGGGCCCGGCTGAGGCGCGGCCACCGCAACGACGCCTCCCTCACCATCGCCGGGGTGACGCTGGAGGACGAGGGGCGCTACCGCTGCCAGCTGGTCAACGGGCTGGAGGACGAGAGCCTGTCGCTGACGCTCACGCTGGACGGTAAGTCCCGGCTCCCACGGCGGCCTGGGAACGGTCCCCCTCTGGCCAGCAATGGCCCCGTCCTCTTCAGGGGAGAGACCTTCTGCTGATGGGAGCCTCGGGCGTTGGGGGCAGCCATGTGCCCTGGCGGGGGGCCGGAGGAAAGGCGGGGGAAGCCGTGTCCCCTGGGAGGAAGCAGGGGGAGCCATGTCCTTTGGCAGGGTTCCCCGAGAGGGTGCAGGGGAAGCTGCATCCCCTGGAAGTGGGTCCCCGGGGGGAGATGGGAGAACCTGCATCCCCTGGTGGGAGCCCATGAGGGAAGTGGTTTTAAAAATCTTAGCTCACTTCCCCTCTACCCCCAGCTCCTTCTGAGCGTAGGGGTGAGTTGGGTCCTTCCAGCCATCCCTACGCTCAGTCCAGGGGGTCCCTGCAGCCGTTGCTCCCCAAATCCCTGCTCTGTGACCTTGAGCAAGCCACTGCCCCTCGCTGTGCCTCGGTTTCC